CCCAGAGTGTACAGTGTCAGGACGCTGCGAGGGGAACCCAGAGTGTACAGTGTCAGGATGCTGCGAGGGGAACCCAGAGTGTACAGTGTCAGGACACTCAGAGGGGAACCCAGAGTGTACAGTGTCAGGACACTGAGAGGGGAACCCAGAATGCTGCAGTGTCAGGACACTGAGAGGGGAACCCAGAATGCTGCAGTGTCAGGATACTGCAGAAGCTGGGAACCCAGGCAGGAAGCAGGGTCGGAAGCAACCCTGTCTTCTTGATCTCCAGAATATTTCAGGCGAGTAACCTAACCCTGACCCAATCACATGAAATGAGGGTCCAGTGTTTATTCAAAAACACCTCTGTGACATTTTTAGTTCACAGCCTCCAGACAGCTTCTCTTCAAGCAACAATGATCTCCATTCTCGTCAGTACTACTGTAGCGGACAACGGCTTGTATGACTTATTACATTAAGTCGTATGCCTGGAATTCATCTTAAGACAGCAAGAAATCTGTATCATAAACCAAAAACCAAGCGCATGGCCATTGAGTCAATTCCGACTCATAGCGACCCTAAAGGACAGAGTAGAACGGCCCCATAGGGTTTCCAAGGCTATAATCTTTACAGAAGCAGACTGCCACATCTTTCTCCCGCGGAGCGGCTGGTGGGTTAGAACCGCTGACCTTTAGGTTAGCAGCCAAGCACTAACCACTGCACCACCAGGGCTCCTGCAAAAACAGTAAAACTGCATTTTAAAACACAGTCTAACCAAAACCTTTAAATAAGGAGGAAGCATTCTGACACTGTGCTGGGTGTCTGTGTGTGAGTGTGCATACACGCAAACTGCCAAAAAGGCAACCGTTCACTGGGCTTATAGTGAGAAAAACAAAACAACCTCCCCTACAAAAAAAACCTGCTTACAGAAGAGAGCCTGAGGGCTGAGGGTAGGACATAACAGATGGAATTACAATTCTATCTAGTGACAACAATATTTTTAAAAAACCCTAAAACTCTGCAAAAGTCTTTATAATTAAAGAAAGAATCAACGTCCATAGCAGATGATAAAGATTTCATGCAGGCCACCAGATACACTCAGCACGACAAGGAAGTGGACTAGTACATTTTAGATAATTTTTCTCATCAGCTGGAATGAAACTAGAGTCTGTGTGAATCGCTACTAACCAAGTAACCAGAACTTCCCATTTGCCCAGCATCTCCAGGTAAGAAACGTTTTCCTGTGCTCGAGCATCATTCAAACTGCTCATTAACTTGCCCCAAAAATGATTCCCACGCACCGACCTTGACACATATGAACCAGCTTAACATTTTATAAGCCATTTAACATACCCATCCTGCTAAGTAAAATTCTAGATTGGGAAGTAGGTAGAAGTAATGGATCAAAAGTGGCAGGTGACTTAAAATACCGAGACACTACAATAGCTGTACCAACTGCATTTTTCCTTCCCCATACCATTTTCCCAAATAAGAGAAGCAGTATCATCAAAGCAGAAGAGAGGGTCCCTCTGTACAAAATAGTCAGTGAACAGCCACTAAAGTTTAAGTCAGGCAGATGAAGGACTAAAATTTGCTTCCACAGTATAGGAATCTGCTATGTAACTATTCAGCGAGACCTTCATTTTTGTATATTAACATTTAATACGGTTTTCATACAGACCTACACAATATCCTAGTGAAGGCGGCATATTTCTCTGGGTTAAAATCTTTGGCGGTCAGAACAATAGAAAAATGAGTCACCTGTCCAAAAGAAAACAAAAAAAGTACACTTTTTAAAGACACTTCAATAGAATTATTTTTTATTACTACATTCTAATAAACCTCTTGTACAAGACATGCCAGCATTAAAAGGAAAAGATAAAAATTTGACAAAGTCCTCAACTGCTTCTTTCTACTTTTATATGTACGTATACGTACATGAGTAGAAGGCTAGGCTCCCCACTCGGCCTTTGCTGGAATGGGTGGGGTGGGACCACAGTTTTTACTATGGTGTTTGATTAGAATACATAATTATTTTCTAAAAGTTCTCTGTCTTGCTATGAAGCATTGGTGGTTCAATGGTAGAATTCTCTCCTTCCTAGACTTAATTTCCTACATAAGAATGCAATACTTAAAGAGTTGGACATTTTTTTCCCAAAACATCCCTTGCCAAAAAAAAGCTCACAAAAATATTTCACTCTAATAAATGTGAGCTTTTATTTAAAGTTCCCTAATCTCATCAAAGTGGAAAGAACCAGGATTGCTAAATCAGACCTACCAATTTAGCAAATGTTTTTCATTGATGAGATAGAAGAATGGAAAACAACCAAAATATATCCCAATAAAAATCATACAGTCCCTTAAACAGTCCACTCTCTGTGGAGTGCTATAATCTAAAGGGCACTATTATCATAAATTTCATTTAATTATACGTCTCTATTATTGTAGGAGCCCTGATAGCACAGTGGTTAAAGTCCTCTACTGCTTACCGAAAGGTCAGCAGTTCGAACCCACCAGCCGCTCCGTGGGAGAAAGATGTGGCAGCCTGCTTCCGTAAAGATTTACAGCCTTGGAAACCCTATGGGGTAGTTCTACTCTGTCCTATAGGGTCGCTATGAGTCAGAACGGACTCAACGGCAGTGGGGGTTTTTTTTTTTTGGTTCTATCATTATAAATATACACTTCTGATAATCATATACCTAACACACCCATAAATGAAACAAACTTCTGAACTTTATCAAAAGCAAAGCATGTATAAATCTTTTTTAAAAAATCATATTTTGAAATATACAAAGTCTCTCTAAATCTTGAAATCAATTTTGCTACAATTTGCAGTTTGAGATATAAAACATGAGATAAATCTACTGGATGCATCAAGACTTAATGAACATAATTCAAAGATTTTACAACACATTAAAAAGTACCTTTTTGTAAAATTATATCTTCTAATCCTGAATCTGTGTTTTGTCCTAAAGCTGTAACGGTTTCTTAACTGTTGCCTTTTTGTTCTTTTAAATGCAATTCCTTAAATTTAAACTTGTGTCTTGGACATGCTTGATACAGTTCCATTACTGGTCATACAACTAGCCCTGAAAAGTGAAAAGAACTCCCCACCTGGGACATGCCACAGGTTCAGCCACCTCTTTGAGAAAAACCTGCTGGTTTCTTGGGATAAGGGACATCCACAAAGGTCACTTAATGGTTTTCAACATGTCATATTGATACTATTCACATCATCACCAAAAAAAGTCTACGTAATACATGATTTCCTTAGTTATCCTTTCTAGTCTCAATATAATCTTATTATCCACAAACAAATGGGGAAAAAAGTTTCTTCACTATGCCAAGGGTAATTATATACTTTAAAATAGTTTTCAATTATAGGAAAATACTTTTAATCAGAGTCATGGTTTTGAAAACTACTTGTAGATTTCTAACTCTGATAAGGGCAGAGACCACGTATTGCTGTTGCTCATCAATATATTCCCACAAGGTTTGGCCTATAATAACCAAAAAACTCACTGCCGTTGAGTCGATTCCAACTCACAGCAACCCTACAACTCATAGCAACCCTATAGGATTTCCCAGGCTGTCAATCTTTAGGGAAGCAGATCGCCACATCTTTCTCCCAAAGAGCAGCTGGTAGGTTCAAACCGCCAACCTTTTGCTTAGCAGCCGAGCTCTCGACCACTGTACCACCAGGGCTCCTTCTGCCCTATTAAAGACAGCAATAAATGCCTATAGAATGAAAGAAAGCGAACTGTGAAAGAGAACGTTTCCAATGAAAGTAATATTTACTGTTTTTCAAAAGTATATCATGAATGATAAATTAAGTGAAAAGCTAAGAGTTATTGCAACAATCTTACAACACTTTAAATATCTTTGGCTTTTTTCACCTTTATGCAGTCATACCTTTTTCAAAACTGAAGAATCTGGAACTTCAACTGTTGTGATATAAAACCACGTTCTTCGGTGCTGGCCAAAGACAAAGGGATGGAGAAGCTTGTTTTCATCTGTAAGGCAGCACTTTCTCAGCAGCAGGGTCCTTCGTGCGGCTGTCGTGGAAGGATAACACCACACCCACAGAACTTCTCCATTTGTGTCCTTTTCTATGGTGGAAAGATGGTCACTGTGAGAATGTCAAACAGCAGCAAGGAAGTGAATTGATTGGTTACTCAGAAGTATTTAGTGGAATCAGTTTTAACACCCCATTTTACAAAGCAACCCAAATACGTGAAACCCCAAATTCCCACCTACCTCCACTGGTCAAACTGTCTAGCTCTCATGATCTGAACCTGGAGGACACTTGAGTAGAAAGCTTTTAGAACAAATCATGAATGAAAATTTAGCCTTAGATGCTTGGTAGAGGTTCTCTTCCAAATTCTCACAAACCTATAATCACTTAAGTTTTTATCTAATTGGAAGAATTTTTAACAAATACATAGAAAAGCCTTGTTTTTTTAAAAAAAAAAATGGAGATGGAGAAAATAATGAAATCTCAAATCATGTTTCATACTGACTACATATATTTTGTATTTAAATTTTTTTTTTAATAATAAAGGTTTTCTGGTCATATATTTAGTTTTATCATGGAAGTAAATACCTCAATAACAAAAAGGAAACAATCTGTGAATTAAAAAAAAGCTCCAGGTAAAAAGACCCTAGGTTTAGTCAAACAGTTATGGCACATATAGCAGTAAGAATCCAGTTTTTGATATATAGACTTAATTTTTTTAAATTATGGAATATATCCAGTATACACAAAAGTAGACAAAATAATAAAATGAATTCCTGTCTCCATCACTCAGATTCAGCAATTATCAACACCTGTTTTCACAGGACCTGACCCCCACCCTCCCTCTCCCATTATTCTGAGGCAAATCCCCCGGTACCAGAGGTATCTAGACTTTTAAATTCATGACAATATGAATAATAAAAAAACCTGTTTAATGAAAACATGATCATAAGCCATCTTTTTTTTTTTCCCTGTTTCTAGATAAAATCAGTTTTTAACTCAGTCTTAATTCAGAAGTACATTCAGGCAGGACTAAGATGCCTAAATACTTAGGTTTTGCTTTGAAGCAGTTTAAAAATCACGATAGAAATGAGTACAGGAAGCTATTCCCAGATAAAGGATCTCCTCTGAGACACTGCAAAATAAATCAGCACAATTCTCCAGTTTCGCTCCCTACGCAATATTGTTGTACACTGGAGGATTAGAGAGGTGTTTAGGGCGTGGAAAGATCTAGGGGGGAACCGAAAGATGTTCATTCAAGCAACCTGGTGCTTGCTGTCACCTGTCAATGAATGGTTCCTTGAAACCTCTGCCCCCGAGGCCCTGCACACGGCTCAGCCACTCATTCTGGGCTCCCCAAAGACCTTATGTACTTCCCCAACCATGAAGTCTTCAGAAGTGACCAGGATCTCACCATGTACGGTTACGTAGAGACTCCTGTTCTATGCACGAGCTCTATCACATGACTCGGGAGTTCTCTGCTAGTAGAGTTGGGGCTCGAGGGCCAGACTGCAAGGGTCCCAATCCTGGCTCTGCCACTTCCCAGCGGGTGCCCAGGCACAAGACACCCAGAGCCTACACTTGCTCCTCCGTAAAGTGGGCATTATCTACAACCCCCTGGAGCTGTGGTGAAGGTTAAATGCGAGATATCTGTGTACAATGCGCAGAGTTAGCCTCCATGCCTCGAACCGCTCGATCACATGATCGAAGCCAAGCCGCGGGCCAAGCGCGCAGTCACGCGTGACCCTACACGCTCCGAGGCAGCAGCCCGCGCCGGGATCGGCGGGCCCCGGGCCTTGCACCTCCCCGCCGCGGCCTGGAGTCCAGGGCCGCCTGCGCAACGAGCCCTCGCAGCCTACGGCCACCCGGACGGCCAGACTCTGTCGGGCAAGCCGGGCGTCCGTGAAGAGCTCCACTGCGGGTCCTGGGAGGCTCCGGGGTCCCTTCGCCCAGACGCCGGCTCGGCGGGCCCCACGCGAGGCCGCGGGCGGTCGGCCCAGGGCGGCGGGCCGGACCCCGCACGGAGGAGGCCCCGCAGCCCCCGGCCCAGGCCCAACACCGAAGGGCCGCGCCCTCCCCACAGCGGGCGGCGCCAGGGCGCTGGGGCAGAGGCCACCAAGGCCCAAGGCGGAAGGGAGCTGGGGTGCGGGCCTGCGGGGCAGGGTGTCTGCGTCCTCACCGATGAGCCCGACTCCGAGCATCAGCTGAGTGTCCGCCGCCTCGGTCGCAGCCATCTTCCGGCGCCGCCGCAGCTTCAACCGCAACCTCAGCGTTGCGCCGGGCTTGCCGCCGCGGGCCCCGCCCCCGGTCCCCGGTCCCGCCCCCTCCTCCAGGCCCCACCCCCTCCTCCAGGCCCCACCCCAAGGGCTGGGCCCCGCCCATCGACCCCGCCTCCCTCCTCCCAGCACCGCCCCGGCCTTAGGCCCCGCCTCTGGATCCGCGCCAGGCCCTGCCTACCCGGACTTCCCTTTGCCCCTGCAATCGGCTTCGGGAACTGGACCTTCGGCCTCGGAAACATCCCGCAGCCTTTCAGCCTCCCTCGGTTTCTCTAATCTAGATCTCTTCTTCGACCTTCTTCAACCTTCCTTCGCCTCCCCCGGGCTTTTCTCATTCTACCTCCGACTTCGGGTTCAGCTCAAAAGAACAGGTTACATGGTTCCTAAAAATTGAGGCTTCCTGAGGATGGAGGAGGGGTCTCCATTCATTCATTCATCCAGCCATCCAAAAACGATGTTTTTTAGGGCCTATGAGTCGGAATCCACTCGACGGCAACTGTTTTTTTAAAAAAAATATGGCATTGGGAATATAGTGTTGGCCAAGACAGTCCATTCCAGTGGTGGAGATGGGCAATTATGGAGTAAAATAATACTAACAGCCCAGAGTGATAAATGCCCTAAAGGCAATAAAATACTGCAGTGTGTTAAGGAGTGGCTAGGGCTGTGCTGCTTTAAAATGGGTGTCAAGGAAGGCCTCCCTGAAGAAGGGATATTTGAACTCAGATCTGAAGGATGGGAAGGAGCCAGACAGTGAAAGATCAGAGTGCTTCGGATCTCTCCTTCAGAAGCACCTCTGGGTGCTTCAGATTCCTCTGGCCGCCCCCAACCCCAGATCACACTAAACTAATTAGACAGTCCTTGGTGTCTATGGAGGCTTGGTGGCACAATAGTTAAGAGCTGGGCTGCTAACCAAAATGTGCCGTGCCGGAGGAGAAAGATGTGGCACTCTGCTTCCCTAAAGATTTAACCAGTTGCCATTAAGTGGATGGAAACTCTGGTGGCATAGTGGTTAAGAGTTTGGCTGCTAACCAAAAGGTCAGCACTTCAAATCCACTAGGTGCTCCTTGGAAACCCTCTGTGGCAGTTCTACTCTGTCCTGTAAGGTTGCTGTGAATCCAGATCTACTTTATGGCAGTGAGTTTGGTTTTTTTTTTAATGTCAAGTGGATTGCGACCCATAGTGACCCCTACAGGACAGAGTAGAATTGCCCCATAGGGTTTCCAAGGCTGTAAATCTTTACAGAAGCAGACTGCCACATCCTTCTCCCAAGGAGCAGCTGGTGGGTTCAAATGCTGACCTTTCGGTTAGGGCAGCTGGGTGCTTAACTACCTTGTCACCAGAGCTCCTTTATATGTATATATGTACGTATATATATATGTACATATGTATATATGCGTGTGTGTGTGTGTGTGTGTGTGTGTGTGTGTGTGTTTGGTGGTGGTGGTGGTGTTTTCGTCGTCATTGGGTGCCGTGGAGTCAGTTCCAACTCATAGCGACACTATGTACAACAGAACGAAACACTGCCCAGTCCTGCTGCAGTCCTGTGCCATCCTCACAATCGTTATGCTTGAGCCCATTGTAGCCGCTGTGTCAGTTCATCTCGTTGAGGGTCTTCCTTTTTTTCACTGACTCTCTACTTTACCAAGCGTGATGCCCTTCTCCAAGGTCTGATCCCTCCTGATAACATGTCCAAAGTATGTGAGACAAAGTCTCACCATCCTTGCTTCTAATAAGCATTCTAGCTGTACTTCTTCCAACACAGATTTGTCCGTTCTTTTGGCAGTCCATGGTACATTCAATATTCTTTGCCAACACCATAATTCAAAGGCGTCAGTTCTTTTTTGGTCTTCCTTATTCGTTCTAGCTTTCACATGCATATGAGGCAATTGAAAATGCACGGCTTGGGTCAGGCGCAGCTTAGTCCTCAAAGTGACATCTTTGCTTTTTAACACTTTAAAGAGATCTTTTATAGCAGATATGCCCAGTGCGATGCGTCTTTTGATTTCTTGACTGCTGCTTCCAGGGTGTTGATTGTGGATCCAAGTAAATGAAATCCTTGACAACTTCAGTCTTTTCTCTGTTTATCATGATGTTGCTTACTGGTCCAGTTGTGAAGATTTTTCTTTTCTTTATGTTGAGGTGTAATCCATACTGAAGGCTGTGGTCTTTGATCTTCCTCAGTAAGTGCTTCAAGTCCTCTTCACTTTCAGCAAGCAAGGTT